AATTTCTATAAATTATTAATTAAATAATTTGTACTTTATAATATATAAATTATTTGATAAATAATTTATTAGTATTAGATCATTTATTTTTGCAAAATCATACTTTAAAATATATAAACAATGCAAATGCTAATTTACTCCTTTGCAAAATAAAGAATTTGAAAATTTTTAATTCAAAAAAAATTTTTGAAAAAAAACTTTTTTCTTTTTTTTTTAAAATATTCGTAGTATAAACATTTTTAAATTTTGCTTATTAAAACAAAGGTGAAATCTGTAAATTAATTATTTTAATGAGAATAGTATTTAAAGTGAAAAATATATATATACCTAAAATTTGGTAATATTAAGGTATCATTGAATTTTTTTCATATATACTAAATATATATACTTCACTTTTTCATTTTCTTAATTACAAAAGATGCAAAGAAATAAACTATAAAATAAAAAAAACCCTTATTTTCTCTTTCATTTAATTCTTTCATTTTTTTTAAATCCAATTTTTTAAATTCTTTCATAAATTATCTTTAGCATTTGATAAATTGAATTCATTAAATAAGAAATGATAAGAATTAATTTGTGAAAAAAAAAAAAGATGAATGGAAAAATTAAGAAAAGGAAGCGATGGTTGATAATCTTTTCTTAATTTTAAATTGTTCCTGACAGTATATTCGAAATGATTTATTTCATTTGAAAGAAATAAAAGTTTGGAAAAAGAAGCTAATATATGAATAAGTAAGGTGAAAAAAGTATTTGTGGCAAATATCATATCACAAAATAGCAAATATCATATCACAAAATAACAATTAAAATAATAAAAAATTTGATAAATATTGATTAAATTAATTAATTTCATTAATAATTAATTTTTTTAAAAGTAATTAATTTTTTGTTAAAATTTAAATATTAAGACAAATTAAACAGGAGTTAATTTGAATGGAAAAAATTTGAAAGGCATGAAAAGGGTCAAAAAAAAAAAAATGCATCGTTAATGAAAAAGGTCAAAGTGATGTTAAGCACACGAATGCATTCATTATTATCATATCAACATTAATAACTTTTCCGCTCTTTCATTTATAACAAAGAAATTCCTTCTTTCTATCTTTTCTTCTTTCCACCGCTTCCTCTTTGCTTTCATCTATCTTTCTCTCTTCAATTAAACTTTATCACAAATGATATTGCTTTATTGTGATTAAAATCTTAGATATAATATTAAAAAGAAATTTAAAAAGAGCTAATTTGAATTGAATAGCAATATAACTTCTCTCTTTTTCTCTTTATAAAATTTTCCAAAACAAAATTTTACTAAAACAATTCGTATTAGAAAGGAATATTAGAAATGAATATCAGAAATGATTATAAATGATTATAATGAATGATAATTATGGAGGAAAGCTATCAATAGTTTTCTTATGGAAATTTGTGTATGAATATAAAAACATGTTTGTAATTGTTTTTGTTGATAAAAATAAACAAAATAAGTGATCATTATCAAGTTTTCTAAATCTATCCCATTAACAAAATTATTTCAAACATTATCCAATCTTTTCTATTCCTGACAACTCGTTCTTTTATAATCATTCTTCTTTTCCACTCTTTTATTGCAAACCATTGTCCACTTCAATGTTTTCTTATTATTGTTTTCTAAATGACCTTTGATGGATATTTGTCACATTTGCGCTTCTTTCTTTCAATACAATTTATTTTACCAACAACATTTCACATATAGCAAACATTTCTTTTCGTTCTTTGTCCTTCAATTTTTTTTTTAGCGAAAGCTTTAAAAAAATTTGAAATTGAAAAATTACAATAAAAGTTGTTTCAAATTGTCCACAACTTTTTGTTAAGTTTTTGTCACCTTCATTACTTCATTAATTCCATTTCTCAAAATTTAACCTTGATGGCGCAACAAAAAAAAAGAAGAAACAATTTAAGGCATGATAAGATCGATATGAATGTAAATCCTATCGATGAAATTATGAATTACGATCGATGAGTTCCTAAAATTCCTAGACGATTTTGCTGTTTTTTGATAAACTCATAATTCATACTCTTTTTAATATTCATTTCTTTTTCTTTTCACTTCAATTAATCAATCGATCGATCGATCGATCGATCGAACCAATCAATCAATCAATCAATTATTCGTCAAATGCATATGAAAACTGAAACGAAAATAAAATTCCTTCTTTTGATTTCATTATTAGCGTTATGTACGTTCTTTATTTTTTAGTGTAAAATTTGAAAACTTTAAAATTGAAATTTTAAGAAATCTATTGTAGTAAAGTTTTTATCAAAAGATATTATTCATATTCAAAAGTTAAATTTAAAATTTAATCAAATATTCTTCCACCTATATCCTAATCTATTCAAATAATTATAGGCTGTCAATTACTGCATAAAATAAACAAGCAGAAAATAACGCTCAAAAATTAATTTTCAACTTTTTTTTTTCTTACAAAAATTTACGAAATATATGTTTAAAAGATGTATGTTGAAATTTCATAAAAATCTAAATGTTGTTATTTCAGGCAATGAAATGAACAATATTTTTTATCTAATCAACATATCAATATATCATCTGGTAAATCTATCCCTGATGCAATATATCACCAACAAATCAACCGGATTTTAATCGAAAAGGAATGAAAGGAAAAAAAAAAAGCAATTTCAAATTGTTGCAATTCCGTTTTCCCTCTCTTTGTCAACTTAATTATCAGTGATAATTTATTTCATTTTATTCTTTAATGATATCGAAAAAATCGATTTAAAATGAAAATGTAAAATACAGACATCGTTTATTTCAACTTTTTTCGACAGAAAAAAGATACAATTTTTCTTACAATATAATAATCAGAATTCTTTTTTACATCATTTTGTCGTATTGTACATTTTTTCAACTTTTTAGAAATTTTAAAAATTTGCTTACCAAATATTTTCCGATCTTCAGTAATATACGTACATTAATACTATGGAAAAAGATTTTGAGAAAAAAGGAAAAGATTGTATTTGAGAATAAATTTAGTACGAAAAACAATATGAATTAAATGATGATAAAATTTAAATGAATTTGGATAGATTAGTAAATTTCAGGTTCGATAAATAGATATTAAGTAAATAGTTTATATAACATATTCACTAATTTTTTTATTGATATTTTCATATTTGTTGCTTACACAATGCACATGATAAACGGGTATCACTATCATTTACATCAAAAACGTAAAAATAATGCGAAAACCGTAATCTTACTAACATTCAAATTTTCAACAGTATGAATTGTTAATTGTTTAGCACATGATAAATGGGCATCATTATAATTTACATCAAAAACGTAAAAATAATGCGAAAACCGTAATCTCACTAACATTCAAATTTTCAACAGTATGAATTGTTAATTGTTTACAGTGAGATATTAACATCAAACAATGTTCAGATAGAACACAAAAAAGAACGATACATATCAAAAACAATAACACTGATATTCATCCCTTTTATCTATTATACCCCATCGATCTTGTTGCATTGCCTTTTGATCCCGAAAAATTTTCGATAACCTATTTTCATCATTATCATTATCATTAGAATAATGACAATAATATACTAATGATAAGAGCAAAATCTACCGCATGAAATATTATGAAAATGATAATGATAAAAATAGATTATACAAAAAAACTTTTTTTTCGGGATGAAATGTTATGCAAAGAAATGATAAGCATGAAATGTTATCAGAAGGGATAAGAACGAATGGCAAAATCCGTAATGTAGAAAAAAAAAAACGGATACAATCATGCCAAATTAACAATAAACGATCTTATCAAATCTTATCACACTTCACAACAAATCTATCTTTACTGTATTTTCTATTTTTTTTACTTCAACACTTTCAGTGAAACAATTACCGAATGCAATCTCGTTTTGTCTCTTTCCTTTTCATTGTTCCTTTCTTTCCTTTTTAGACTTTCTCTCCTTCCAAGGAAAAAAGAAGGAAAAATGACAGTTTTCTCGAGTATCCATTCCCCCCATAAAGATGCTCCTTCACAAGAACAATAGCAATCATCTTCTAATGAAAAACTTTTAGCATTATTGTTATCATCTACCCATTATTTTATTCTTTTATTAAAGCATTAATGGACATCGCTAAATTCCCGTAACAAAATCGCATTTGTTGTTGACGGAACAATTTGAATGAATTCATTCAAATTGTGATAAAAACAATAACTTGTCTTTATCAATCACCCTAGATTTATACTGGTTCTCCAATCGCTATCAACTAAATGTGCAAAATTAGGAAGCTATATTTCAGGTAATAACAATCGATGCTGACCACTAAAACCAGACAGAATGGACGAAATGACGTAACACGTTTTCTTTGTTTTGCTTGAAATTTGATCATTCTTATAATGTTTTAACAATTTTTAACTGCAATATTGAAAACTCAGAGTTGTTTCTACTCCGTCAAAATAGACAGCTCAAAGACTTTATGCTATTAATCATTCCATCATTAAATTTGATTTACTGAAAAAAAAATAAAATAATCTACTGTTCGTCAAGTTGCTCATGCCTAAATCTAATATACAAAGAAAAAGATCTCAATTCCTATTTCAAATGACAGAAGCAAGTTGCACCACGTGTCAACTTGAATAAGCTTGATCGCTATTTGATATGAAATAATAAAAATAGTAGTCCTCCGTAAGTTTGTTGAGCAAATTTTCTTGTTAAAATGTATTATGAATAGAATTATTGATCTCAATGTGACCTAATCAAAGAAATTGAAGTAATTCGTTCCCATGCATCAAATAATTGATGCAGTTCTTTCTGCTTCTGCTCCCTTGCTTTACTTCTCGACAGTGACACTAAACAATAGAAACTGTAAACCTAAAAACTTAACAATTAATGTCTCATAAGTTAATTAAAAGTTGCAAGAATATGCCTAAAATATATGTGGTAAAGCATAAAAAATTTCCCAGAGAAATAAAAAACGTGACATCTTGAATCGATCATTTATCAATATCGATGTCTTCTGAGCCGGCATTATCACCAAATTTGTACTCTTCATAAATCTGCTCGTATAAAGCACCGCATGCAACGACTGCCTTCAATTTAGATGCCAACAAAAATGATCCAGAAAGTTTCCGATGTAGTGAATAGATTTCATCGGGAGGTGATATCAGACGATGTTTTAACATCACCGGAATTAATGTGTGAATTCGTTTCGTTACATTCTAAAATTTCACAAATTTTGATCGACTATGAATATTTCAGAGACAGATAACGTGAGTTTAACAACTGAGCATACCAGGAAAAGTACTTTAATGAATTTTAACTTTTTCTAAGAATTCAAACAATCATTCTCCCCGGAAAGGAAAAATACGTGCGATTATATTCCAAATACGTCGTAATACAATCAGTATTGCTAATAACACATAAATATTCGAATTCTTTTCATTTTTAAAGGTGTTACCTGTTCCGAGAAATCATATGGAGTTGTTGATGCTAACGTCTCACCCAGAATACTGATTGATTTACAATGAGCATCTTCCATTACCTGCAGTAATATTTTACCAGTGAAACACAAATTTTTGGAACATCCATTTCATATAACTCAATAACGCAAGATATATAAAATTTGAATTGCAAAGCTACCTTTGATTCGTATCCTGATAAGAAACCAATTTTCCTCGAATATTCCAGAATCTGCAAATAAAGCAGCTCATGCAACGCCATTTTCTAATGCATTAAGAAATCCAGTCGACCAGAATTTTGCAGATTAAAGTCCGGGTTAATAGTTACTGTTTTAGAAAAACGCTTACTTTGTTCCTGTCGTTGTCATAAGCAGCACGAATAATGTTCATATATTGGTCAACAAATTTCTTGGGATACGAACGTGATGCACCAAAATCCAAAAGAATTAACCTTGGACCACTTGCAGTAGGATGTTTGCCAAGATAGAAATTAGACCAATTTGGATCGGTCTAAAAGATATCGGTCAGCAATTTATGTTTCCAAATTTTTAATATTGACAATGCTGAATAACTGAAAATGCTTATTTCAATTTATACCATTAAATATAGAGAAATATGACATGCTTACGTGAAAAAAGTCATTCATAAGTTATGAACTAAAACCCGACTTATAGATGACTCCATTCCGTAAGAATCCAAATTTTTATATATTCAATGGTATAAATCAATTCATTTTTTTTTTAATAAAACAATTCATCATAGAAGCCTAATACTTATTTCTAGATTGGAAAATTTTTAAGTTGAAAACAAAAGGAATGTTTTTGAGGATAAAAACAGCCTCATAAAATAACACATTCGCACAATTTGGAAAATAAAAAGTTAAGTTTTGCTGAAAAATCATTTAGTGTCACGAATAAAACATGAACAAACACGATTACCTGCATAAACCTCCAGACGAAAATTTCGCGGAGACAAAGCTCGATAAATTTAGAAGCAATATAATTGCGAACTTCTTGCGGCTCATTTATACATTTGTCAATAGGAACACCTTCCATGAACTCTGTTGTCAACACATGTGTTGTACTTAGATTATCAACCACCGAAAATTATCAATTATCGGATCATTTGTGAGAAGAAACTTTACATACATGGATACCGAAAGGCTTATTTTCTTCATCCAAGGGACATACAAAGTAGTCAGCGGAGAAAATATTAACAAAAAAATGAGTCTGTATAAGAATGCTTAATTCTAAAATTATCAGACGAAATTATCAACTTTTCACTCTTTTCGGAAATTTTTCCTCCATTCCAAATTTATTCCAATTCTAACCAGTATATTTCCAGAATAGAGGGAAAATTTTTTTTAATACAGAGTAATTTTTTGGGTACTAATATTTTAAAAGAAACATAAACTGCAAACCTTGGGAATATAAAAATGTTCGTCATCGGCCAATAAACGTTGGAATTCTTTCATAGCACGTGCTTCGCGTTTGTAATCGCATTCCAATTTTAATTCTTTTCTTGCCACCTTAATTTCAGACATAATTAAATATACAAACACGAAAGATCCATAAGTCACAAACTAGTCCTAGATTTATCCTTTAACCAAAATTCAAGATTTTCTAAACGCTAAGCAAAACGTTGCCTTTCACCTTAATTAAAATTAAACATATTCACCGTTGCAAAATTTTCCAAATAAAGGCCCTTCGGAAAGAACTTCCCATAGTTCAGTATTGTCACTAAATTATCAATGTCTGAGTCAATGCCTGCTGATACGCCAGGATACTGAATTTTTAACGCAACCTTCTCTCCACTAGGCAGCCAGGCTTGGTGAACCTGTAATACCAGAATGACAGATTACTGTAGTATTCTCTCAAGAATGAGAATCGTATAAAGTACTTAAAATAAATCGAACTGATTCTAACCTGTCCGATGGATGCAGCCGCAAACGGGATATCTTCAAATCTTTCAAATTTAATACGCCAATTATCACCAAATGAATCACACATTTGACGGTGAACTTGCCATAATGGCATGAAATCAGCATTGTGTCGAACACGCTCAAATATTTTGAGCAACGTTGGCGATATTAAATCGGAATCTAAACTTGAATTATACCGATCAAACTGAAGGCATCAATAATTATTTTTGACAAAAAACAAACAATAGCAGTGTCGACGTTAGTTATTTGTAATTTTCAGGTATATCTTAAGCTACACAGATTCGTGAATCTACAAATTTTGATAAAAGGAAAGGATGAAGAATGAGAACCTTGTATGCTGAGCATTTGACCCAACTTTAACGCAGCGCCACGCACTCTACACAGAGTACGTACAATCTTCTCAGCATTCGCTTCCGTCATGAATGGATTTCCGGTTGGAGAGACAATACTTTCTGCCGATGCATTTGCAGACTAAAATTATTTCACTTCAAAATCATGATTTCCGTTTAAAGTCTTAGTTCTATAAAATAATAAAATTAAAATCTCGAAATGACGGTAAAGTTACCTTACTAAATCCCAGTGTTCGTTTGGTGGCTTCCGTAGCTGCACCCATAATGAGACTCACTCCAAGCTGGCCAAATTGAGCAAATCTTGCTATGCGAGAACTCGGCACTTTGCGCTCTCGATTCTTAGTATTTAAGGATTCCATTTCAACAGCTTTCAATTGGTATCCCTGAACACCACGTCTTAAGTTTCGCATGAGATGAAATGAGATGTCAGATAAATTACGCATGAGATAGTAAGACGAATTATGTAGCTTGATAATATAGAAATGAAACCTCTGGCAAACGTGGTTCATAGTACTTTGATTTCGGAGAAACTACTGATGAAATATTTGCACCGTTCCTGAAAAAAAGTCCTAGTATTTTCAGGCAAACTTTGCAAAATAACCAAGCATTTTTTAATCTGTATAATCATTCTCAATCTCAGTGAATACTGTTAGATTAGAAATGTTTATAGGCTGTACAATGAGTGACTTACCTTGGAATATTGTCAAACTCCAATGCTGCACCTTCGAAAGCTTGTTTTCTGCTTAACCCATTGTCGTCGTCCTTCCACGCTTTATTGTCAGAGGGTCCAGCTTCCTGTGCAACAATATTTTAACGACAAGATTTGCTATAAATTAAGAACTACAACTAATTCCTGAAACGAATTTCTTAAGGAAGAAATCATTTACTTCATGATAAGTTCGGTGTGCAGGACCCGACGAATCGTTAAAAGTTGTGTCTTGCATGGTGTAACCTGCTGTACCTGTAACAACAATCCAGGAATTTTTTCATAATTACCATAAAAAGATCGATACAGAAAGAACTGAAGTTTTAGACACCTGTATTCATCATGAAAATTAATACCAACCAGGATATATCCCTCTTGTAGCAAGTTTCGTGACCTCCCTAATACTTGTGGAAATCGTTTGGGCACGTTCAAAAAGATCGCAAAATCTGTCCAGTGTCCAGTTTCCCCCTCTTAAAGTAATTGTTTAATTTCACAAACAACAAAAATGCTAAACGCTTAATAAAGTATATGAATTACTACATATCCATTTAATAAAGCATATGAATTGCTATATATCCATTTGTAAAAATCCATGGAAATAAAATTAACACTAGTGAATATATAAATACGTATCGCCCTGGAGAAACTGGTTTGGAAATTTCCAATTAGATCTGAAAAACTTACTTGAAGTCAAGGTGTCGCATTTGGTAGCCTAGTTGGCTGCGCACCAAAATGCGAAGTGTATTAATTATTGGACCAAGTTCGTCCCTCCATGGACTACGATTCATCGCTCTCCTTTTTTTGGTTCTTAATCTAAAGAAAAAAAATAAAAATACAATTCAAAACAATCCAAAAATGACTTATAATAAATTATTAGTCACCCATTTGAAACAAATTTCATTAAGAGTCACAAACTTGGTACAGTAAAGGCATATCACTGAACTGTTAAGTAATCCAAGTGGAAAATCTGGAGTAGCGATAGTCTAAACTGAAAATCCGTTGCATTTTTCGAGGAACATTGTTTGAAAGCTGAAAACTATCCGTTGAAATTGGTAAAATATTACCTGCAACATAGCGAAGAAATCAAAGAATTATTGAAATTCAGAAGTTTTACAGAAAGCTAAATCTTTTACTATGAATAAAAAAGCCTCATTTTTTGCAAAAAAAACAAATTTGTCCGATATTTATCAAAAGACAAGCAACACAAAATTTGGTAAAACTTCATAGCTTACATAAAACTGCGTAACTTCAAAGCCGAAGCCAAATGATTCAAACGGATTTCAAAAAAGTTTCGCAACACTTTTTCAAACATTTAAAAAGCAAAACCACAATACGGCCAAAATAGGTGATAGTAACCGCACAAAATAAAAATGAAACCTTCAACCGACCAATATCTATGTTTATATAGCTAAGAGAAGGTTATTTGAAGGGAAAGGTATATTTCGCATAAAAAAGGATAGTATATTTGGCATAAAATTGATTCACCAATTTTAATAAATGTGTCCAACTAACAAGACAAGGGTGGACAAACAATTTGCATATCATCATTGCGGTAAAGACAAAGATGAACAAACCATGGCAATAACCTCATTAAGCGGAAGTATGTCTGGTCGAAACATCCTGAAAATTGTATAAATACTACTCACTATATAATACCATCTTATCTCTCGGACTAGAAGTCTAGACAGCCTCTAGTAATATTAAATATAAATTTGATATAAATTTATAATTCGCATACACACCCCTTTGATTTGTTGCTGTTTAACTTTTCGATGCATCCATCATTTTTAAGATGACGAATCGTGTGACGCCTTCCATAGTAATACTAAAAGCACTTCACCCGTTCATTTCACTACATTTTATCGACCAATTTTTGCCTCCCCCTTCCCACCTCCTTTCCTCCTTTCCTCTTCAACATTCCTTACGAGTAGTATATCCTGTAAGCAAACATACATACATGCACACATACACACATACATGCATTATCTTTGAGCCAGTTAGAGCTGCGGAGGAATCTTTAGTATCATCTCATTGTTTACGTTGGCTAATGGCTTATTTTAGTCCGTTGTCTTTTACGATTTTCTAGCAACAGTGATTTTAACTTCTCAGAAACATTCCTCTGCTGATAACGTTACGCACGTCATTTCACTATAAAAATAAAACTGCGCCGTTAGGGTGGCAAGTTACTATCAACCTGAGAGCATTCACGTATCATCTAGAAATACCTGACATCGAATAAAGCTCTCGACACTCTTGTAATTTATGAGATACATTTTATTACAAGTTATCAAATATATATCGTTACATTTCTTTCCTATATACGTAAACTATTTATCTAAAATTTTTAGATGTTGTTACTTTGACACATATGCTCTTTAACGCCCACATATCTTGACATTTCCAAACTTGAGTGGAAAATTTTAACACTGAGATTTCAAAATTTTACAAGATCTCTCAGGAAGATGGTAGTAGGACCTAACGCACGATAGAAAAAGATAGTTGGAGACATGGGAACAACCGAAAATAACGTTAGAAGTTGACGCGTGCATTGCGTGTTTCATGACAATATCTCATTTCATGTTTCCCGACACGTTTGCCAATGGCTAAGGTCTGTTACATGAAATTCGGTTACGCTTGTTTACTTTACTTAACAGTTACGGTGAAAGATATGGCCGAACGGACGAATAGAAAAATGGTTTCTAGAATCAAGAAATACGGACAAATAAGTGTAGAAACCGGAGTGAATCAGTTGGATTGAATATAACAGATAGGTTGACATGATTGGAAAGAAAAATATGATGGACATATCATATTATAACTATTAATTGGTAACATTTACCTCATTCAGATGATTAAGGTTTATTCCTGTTAACTCTTACTCGTACAGATTGGATGGGAAACGGGTACTGACGAACATGAAATAACGGATACGATTTTTATACGATTTATCAACACTTTTCCGTACTGGGGTGAAAAATGTGAATAGACAAACAGACAGAGTGAAAGAAAAGGTAATCACTTAGTTGCCAACTAATGAGTCATGGGAAGAAAAAAAGATTTGTTGTTTCCGATGGGATAAGGGGAGAGAAGGAGAGGAAGGGTATATCCCAACGAAAAATGATCATTCTTTTCTAGATAGGATTTTTTTTTCAAGTTTTAAGAAATCATCAAAAGAGCTTAAGCGACGGATAGATTAAATAAATTGTTTGGCAACTGGCGTTATTGGTTACTTTCAAAAACACAGATCTACAGATAAGGATATTTAACATGATGTGATCTTGTGTCATCTACGAAATAATTGAACTTTTTCTCGATTACTTGGATTAGGCTTAAATGATGCAATCCTCCATTCTATCGAAATTGTTGGTGTAAGAAAGGGTGTAGAAACATGTGTGCATCCTTTGTGATTCGTATTACTTTATTTATGATTTGTTTTATTGAATAATTCGCGTACGGCTAATTTTAATGAATGATTTCTATAATGCACGAAGTCGACGAATGCAATTTTGAAAATTAGATTTCAGTTCACTTTTTCTCACTCTTTATTCATAATTTTTTTCAGACAATGAGTGATATGCCGTGGGTAATAACTGAAGCGGAAATGCGAGAAAACGATATTCAGTTCTCGTCCCTTAATCCAGTAAATGGATTCGTTTCCGGTGAACAAGCACGGCCTTTATTCATGAAATCTGGCCTTTCACCAGCAATTCTGGCTCAGGTGTGGCATTTAGCAGATTACAGCAAGGTAAGGGATGTCTTTTCTGTAAAATTAATATTAGTATGATCGCTTTGAAATGATTTTTTGACACTATTCTGTGAGTTCAGTAATTCTGATATACCGTTTTGCAAAACGGATCAAATTTTGTAGGATGGTAAGATGGATCGAATTGAATTTTCGATTGCTATGCATTTGATTCGTGCGGTATTAGCTGGTGCAACGTTACCGCCAACTCTTCCTGTATCCTTGAAGGTATTTTACGTGAATTTTTTTCTAGATTAACTTTTTGACTGCTCCCAATTTACATTAAAAATTTCCAAGTAAATAAATTGCCTCCAAATATAGCCGTTGTTGTATCATTTTCTCACTGATTTTTTACAGCCTCCAATGGTGGTGACCTCATTTCCTCCACTGGTCGCGCATACGCCAATGGTTAGACCAGTAATGACCTATGGCGCAGTTCCACCAAATACAGCTCAGAATTTGATGACTTCTGGAAAGGTACAATGTGATTGGACCATACCGCATCATAACAAATTGAAATATTGTCAGCAATTCAATCAACTCGATAAAAGCAGAATTGGATCACTTAGTGGTGTCCACGCAAGGCAATCTTTTGAAGAGCATTCCCAATACCATATGTTATTACATTATATTTGTTTTCAAAAGAATTTAACTTAATAACTTTTTTAGAAAACTCCATTCCTTTTTCAAATTTTCACATACTAAATATTTATTTCAGAAATATTTTGGCACAAAGCCAGTTGCCGAATTCTGTTCTAGCTGAAATCTGGAATTTATCGGATTATAACAAGGATGGACGGCTTAGTGTAGAAGAATTCTGTGTTGCCATGCATCTGATTGATTCAGTCAAGGTATTAGTTTATTTTCGATCACTTAATGAATTGGTAATACATTAAAGTACCTATTCTGACCAGTAATTTGATATGCATATATTCCTCTCGTCTTGGTGAAAGCATGATTTTCAGGCTGGTTATTTACTTCCAAAAACCTTCCCACCTGAGTTGGCAACTCACTGTTCACGTTCTGTTTCCGATTCACCAGTACTTGATCCAAACGCACCTCCTGCACAAAAAATTCAAATACCGAAAACATTTGAAGACAAGCGTCGAGATAATTATGATCGTGGACAGGCAGAGTTGGATCGGCGTCGTCAGGCATTACGTGAAGAGGTTTTTGCTTAAATTGTAATTGAGACTTTGCTCGGGCAGTGTAAGACGTTTTTGAAGAGTTTCCTGATATGAGGTAATCACTTCATTACATTCTTAGGAAGAGCGACGTCGTGCAGAATTTGAGAAGAAAGAAAGAGAAATGGCAGAAAAGAGGGAACGAGAAAGGGAAGAAGCTGAAAAGAGACGTCAGGCTGAACGTGAAGCAGAATTAAAACGTGAGCAGAAACGCGAAGAAGCTCGTCTAGCAGAAGAAAGGCGTATTTTGGCAGAAAAAGAGGAAGCCAGGAAGGAAATGGAAAGGCAGCGAAAAGCTGATTTGAATGCAATAAGAATTCGAGAAATTAAAGTAAGATATCAGTGATGTGATGTTGGCTTAAACTAACCGATGATTTGAGATTAGCAAATTTCAGCATTTTATTGCGAAGAACCATTGACTGAGATGAAAACATACATGTAATTCCCTGGATTTAATGGTTTCTGCAAAATTTTAGGCACAACGTCAAAATGAAGTGGATAGCACCCTGGAACGACAGCAACGGCAGAAAAATTTATTCTTTCAGCTTCAGGCTCTCGACGAAAAATCAACAGAGTTGAATGCCAACATTACACAAGTATTTTGGACTTGTTTACTTTCGTTACTTTTATTATTCTACTCTCTACAGTTCCCACTGCTTTCCTATAATGAGAAACATAATTTGAAACTAAGCCTTGCGCTGCTCAATTATCTGAGGTATATATTAAAGTGCTTAGAGTTCTTGTATCCATATTTAGTTAAAAGAGTGATCAATTAAAAGTAACTGATATATTTCAAACAAATTTAATACTTATGTGGCTCCTACCACTTTTCTTATTCTCTCTTAAAAATTTTTGTATAATATCTATTCGAAATAGTTGCTAATTCATTACTACTCCTGAATTTCAGTTATTTTGCAGGCAAGAGATCTGATTGTTGGTATAACAAAAGAAATAGAGTCGATGAAAGTCAAGCGTGATGAAAAAGCAGAAAGGATTCGATCACTGGAAATAACAAAGCAACAAGTAAATTAAAGCAGCTAAATTTCCTTGTGTTCGATATGAAATTGTCTGAGGTTTCTGAAATTTGGGGCTATGGAGATATATTTATCATAAGGTGTTTATTTGAAATGTTCAGGACTGTTTGTTCTCTGTCCTCAGAGCTAGAATGACTTATAGAAGATTTGAGAATTTTGCGACCGATCAAAATAGAAAATGTTAGCTGAATTGCAGTTAAGCGTGCAGTATGAACGACTGGCACACGAAAGTCTCCAAATGCAGGTTGAATGCCGTAATAGAGCGCAAAAAGCTGAAGATCTTGAACAAGCGAAAAATGCAAGGCAATCCCTAATTGCTCAATTATCTGCTTTGAAGAAGCAATTGGAGGATGCAAATGAACGAGCAAAGGTTCAGCAGCAGTTGGTTACTAAAGTAATAAGTTTTTTACTGATTTTATTTCGTCAGATTTTTTCCATTTTTCCAAATTTACTCTCTTTTCTTTTTTCTTGAGGAAGGAATAAGATTTTAGAAAGCAGAAGAATTGAATGAATGTACTTTGAAAATGACTCGACTTTCGACGCTGCATTCTCAGTTATACGAACAGATCAAAAATTTGAAGCCAAAAGTAAATACCATAGTTTCCGGGGAAAGCGGTGATGTGCCAAAATCTGTGACAACATCCTTGTCAAATCATTCGGTTAACAAATCGCCGTCAGTTGATTCGAGTATGTTTTACAGTAAATAACTTGTTTTTCCAAATGTGACTTATCGCGGATCTGGTTTGGTTTTCCATGAGTTTCATTGATTAAAGATATTTAAAAGTTGTTTTTAGAAAGCGTTACAAATGGAACAGTGCAACAGTTTTCTGTACCCAATAATTCATTACCAAAAGGGAATGGTGCTACCGGTGCAGTGAAGTATCGTGCACTATATGAATTCACTGCTCGTTCAGGTCCATTTTTTTTAAACCCTTATCACTTTTTGTTCATTTTTCTGTGTTTTTGTTTTCATATATCGCATACTACTACGTTTTTTAACCTTTAGTTTAGCAGTGATTTTGAGACATTCTAACTAGGATTTGTAGATGACGAGCTTAGCTTCCAACCAGGGGATGTTATTCTTGCATTTGAAAATCATGCCGCGGAACCGGGCTGGTTAGCTGGACAGATGCGCGAAAAAGTGGGATGGTTCCCTGTAGCTTTTGCCGAACCGATGGTACCTGTCAGTGCTGTTCCTACGCAGGTAACACTTTGAGTTACTCAAGTAGCTCAGTAGCTATTTGATTTCTATCACTCTACCATTATTTATTTGGTAAATCCAATTGAATCAAAATTCGAAAATGCTATTTCAGCCACCGCAGACAATATCATCTGTTACGACTTCTCCATCAAGTGAACCATTGCAAAGTATTGTAGAGGAACCGGCCGCTTCAGTTGTTAAATCAACTTCAGGATCTTTCGGTGCTTCGGGTATATTACTGTTAACTTTAATATTATTGTCAAGTTTTCGATTTTTCTCGTGACATTCTATGAACTTCAGAAATAGAAGCGTTGGATTTATTTTGGTATAGTTATAGATTACAATATTTTTACCATTTCTTTTTTTAGAGCAAGAAAAACAGTTACCGATCTTGGGAGCAGCAGTTGCGTTATATCAGTGGAAGGCGAGAAATGATAATGAATTGAGTTTTTCGAAAGGAGATACCATTGAGATCCTGGAACAACTGGAAATGCGTTGGAAGGTCAGGTGTTAAGTAGCGAATGCAGAATTAATGTTTCTTCTGAAGTGGTTGAGAGTTTTATAAGAAATCTGGGCATCAGAACTACCGAATTATATAGCGACAAATTTACGCTGGATCAAATTGAATTAAGTTTTGATTTTTCAAAATTTTGGATGTGTCATCATGGGTCAATAGAGAAAGAATCATCATTACTTTTATTAGTTCGGCGGTAAATGGATATTGGTTCAGGTACCATTACAGTTGCAAGTTTAAGGTATTTTGGAAACTTAAAATTTTTGAAACTTTAAGATATAGAGTATCTCAATTATTTGCATTTTTCAGGGTCGTAATAAGTCTGGCGCAGTTGGGTGGTTTCCCAAGTCATACGTTTCAATGTCAGATGGAGATGCTAAGGTTGATTTGAAGGACAATTTAACAAAAGATCAAATTGAAAAGTCGAAAGAATCCATCGGAAAGGATGCTTCTGCAGCTTCATCTATTCCAGCTGGTGCAGTATATGATGCTGTTACAGGTTGATTTTTTCAATCCTTTTTTTTGAAATATAAACATATTAAGATTTTGACTCACATTTGTAATTTGTAGTAGTCTTCAAAGTTGGTGCTTTCCTTTAGAATCTTTGAAATTTTTTCTATGTAGCAGAAGCACCGGCTGAATCGATATCAGGTGAATGGTACGTGGCATTGTATGATTTTCAAGCAATGGAACCAACAGATCTCGATTTGCATGCGGGTGATCGTATTCTTGTTACGGAAGCAATCAATGAATGGTGGAAAGGAACCTGTAATGGACGAGCTGGAATTTTCCCTGCAAATTACGTACAAAAATGCCCGTCTTCATCGGCTGATGTATTGCAGTCAGGTAAACTTCATTGTTCTTGAAAATGTTGCAATCATCAGTCTTATTTTTGCGAAAGTAGTCGTTGGAACTATCAATGTTTGATACTAATAAATCAGCCAATCGCATTTAGAAGGTGCAGACTTGGGTACTGGCAGAGCTATTGCTGATTTTGAAGCTACTGCGGAAAATCAGTTGTCGCTGAAAGTTGGTGATATGGTAAAAATCCAAAGCAAATCATCTTCTGGTTGGTGGCAAGGCGAGGCAAGTTGCACATTTCTTACTAGAATTTTCTAGCTCACTCCCTCTCTCTGTGTATTAGAGTTGCGAGCGAAAATTTTCAGCTGAACCACAATGATATTCATGGTTTTTTTAGTAAATAGAAAAGGAGAAATGAAAGTGAGGAGTCAAGCAGAATCCTGAAAAGCAGGAAGATTTCCCAAGGAAAGGTAAATCTTGAAGTTAGTAACGAAAAAAAATCCTTTTTCTGAATTGTGTCGAGGCCCTAGTTGGAATTCCAGAAGGGTAAATGACGGATTGATTTTCAGTTCGAGTCCCAACTTCAATCTCGCATATTAATATTGACGAAACATTTTTTGCAGATTGTATTCGATAGTGGTGCTAAAAAAGCTGGCTGGTTCCCGGGTAATTATGTGGAAGTATTGGGTGGAAATGAATTAAAGGCAGAAGCCTTGTATGATTATCAGGCTCAGCGTGATGATGAATTATCCTTTAAAGCCGGTGATATCATAATAGTTACTGATCGGAATGATGGCGAGTGGTGGAAGGGACGTCTACTCAATGATAAAAGTTCTGTTGACGCACTCTTCCCAGGAAATTACGTTCAATTGCGGTAAGTTATTTCTTGTTTTTACTAGCCGTGTTCCAATTAAATTTTTTGGATATTTCGATGAAACCTCATTCAAAATTCTGTCAATCTTAGCGAAACTTCTTCTAATTGAAGAGCAATTCATCGATTTGTTGGAATTTGAGTTAAATTTTAAAATATCAAAAATTCCAAGTCCCCTTGTTATTGAATAAATTGATATATTTTAATATAAAAATTAAATTCCCAAACAGAAAAATTAGGAGAATTTTCATTCGCTCTTCGATTTTGTCCTTTTAAATTTACTCTTAATTGTAATATTATTTCATATAAATAAGATTGACTTTTAAATGCTAGAGAGAAGGGTGCATAACAAAAGTAGTCTTAAATCTATAATCTTATCCAGGTTACAATGTAAAGTCATATCTATTGGGTAAGTTTGAGAAGTAAATGAAATTTTTCGTATTTTGAGAGAGATTAATTTGATTATGTGTTAAATGATCATTATTTTGGGACTTATCCATGCCTTTTAATGGATCATTGGGAACTATTTATTTATGTTTTTCGTGTTCATTTCTTAACCTTTACTAGCCTGTTATCATAACTTAGTTTCGAATTTAATTTGGTTGTCCTGATGATGTTTTTTTAAAAAAAAAACTGGTTACCACCTTGCATTATCCTTCATGGTATAGCTTTTCGGTATGATAGTAGCTCTGGTGACGGCCACCTTTATAGTCATTACAAATACCATAGCATTGACTTCTACCTTTGTTCTGGAATGGATTGTGTTTGAAACACCTAAAACTTTGTTTAAATTTGATTCAATATGACAGTTCTGGTGTTGAGGAGATGAAACTTTGCAGGCAGTAAATATATCTTTTCTTCGATCATTTCGGTCGAATTTAAATGCGTTATTTCTCCGGGATTTTGAATTTATTTCTACTTAATTAGCATCATACTCGTGTAATTCATTATTATCGAGTCACGTAAAAGTCATCATTTCATCAACGCATAATATTTATTGGTCCGAGATATATCTGTAAAGGTAGGCAATTATTTTAATTTATCATGATGGACTGGTGCTACTTTTACTAATACTAGATTTATTTTGTTATTGGGTTGTTAATTAGCTGCCCTCATATAGGTATAATAAATATATGTAAATTATTCATTATTATTTCAAATGATCGCGTCTGAACTTCGTGTTTTTCTTCATACTTTAGAGTTCAGAAGCTCGTCAGAATTGTATGTTTTGAATTTTCAAATTAGGTTCATTTTTTTCTATGAATTTTCTTTTCTATTTTTTCATATTTTCCTTTTTTCTTATCCTATGGTAGCGTTTTATTCTTCTCTTGTTTTGCGTCAATATTACATTGATATGGTATTTCTACTTTTATGTCAAATTTCCACAATACTTTTTATGTGAACAATTATTTTTCTTCCACCATATGGCAGGATATCAATGCATGATAATTTTTATTTCTTAGTCTGGTCTCACATAATTTTTTCGTAGAGCTCTGTCACAAAGTTTGTTATCAGTTTAAAACTCGCTTTCTTTAAATTGTGGGATATTTGAATTCTGTCAGGAATCACTGACTGATTTCATTGTTAAAAGTCTTAATTTCTAAAATTTGAACAACCACAATCTATAAACA